TGGCGCTCATTTCGGCCGCCCCGCAGTTTCCGCCAACGCGGAAAAGGACGTGCTAGGCTGATGAGAGTCTATCTACAATTGACATCAGCTCCAAATCGCTGTGCTTCGCCAATTTCCTGCCGGATGGTCCAGCCGCCCCGCAGTCTCCGTCAACGCGGAGAGAACGGAGGAGCGAGGCTCAGAGAAATTCTCAAAGACTTCTATTTCTATCTCAATCAGAAAGGAGCGTGTTGTTGAGGGCTAGTTCGCAAGATGAGCGTGGCCGCAAGTGCGGGGACCGTGGTGGGGCCGCGGGGTAGCCTGACCCCAACGGGGCGTCGGGTCGTGAAGCGGAAAATGGACGATTCGGGAAATGAATCGAGTCGAAATGGCCGATACGCGACGAGAACGACCGGGAAAACGGCGCCGGCGACCGAGGCCGGCCGTGGGACCGGCGCGAAGGACGGAGGCAGCAACGGCGGCGACGCGGCCGCGGCGCTCCATCACGTCTCGCAGCTTCTAGGTGACTACCGCGCAGAGTTCGCGGGGTTCAAGCAAATGATCCGTGGGCAGAGCGACGTTATCCGCACCCAGCAAGAAACGATCCAAGACTTGAAAGAGACGTCCCAGGAACAGAAACAACTCATCCGGGTCCTGACGCTCGCGCTGGAGGACACAAAGCAGCAGATGGGCGAGGAGCTCAAGGCACTGCACGACAAACTCGACGCCGTCGCTGCTCGGGCACCCGCTACCCCGCCGCGATTGTTCGCCGCCGTAGTGCAGTCGCAACGGACGTCCCAGCCCGCAACGGCTGCGCCCGACAGAGCGTTCAACACCTCTCCTGCCAGCGAGCTCTATTGCACAATCGACACGTCGCGAGTAGAGGAAGCGAATCGCGACCAGGCCCAGGTCGGGGCCGTCCGACAGGCCATAGAATTGGAGATGAGGGCCAGGGACGGCCTAGCAACGTGGCGGTGCGCGGCGGTCCTGAAGGACGCTCGGGCTGCGGAGCGCATCAAGATAATCTGCAGAGACGAAAACGAATTGAGCCAGGTCAGGGAGGCTGCGCAGAAGACAGCCGTCGTCGGCGCGCGAGTCATGCGCGATCAGCTCTTTCCAGTGAAGGTCGACAATGCGAACAGGAGCATGGTGCTGGACGCAGAAGGGACTGTGCTACCGGGAGCTGCCGAGGCGCTTGGCGCAGAAAACAACGTCAATATTGCCAAGTTGTCTTGGCTGAGCAAGAAAGAATCGGGAAAAGCATACGGATCGATGGTGGTATATGTCACCAAGGAGAGCGACGCCAGACGGCTCGTTGACGGCCACTACTTCGACATAGCCGGCGAATCGGCTACCACGAACGTCTTCGAGCGACGCTCCGGACCAGTGCAATGTTATAACTGCCAGGCCATCGGGCATAAATCATTCCAATGCAAGAATGCACAAGCGTGCGGGAGGTGTGCAATGTCAGGACACCAGCGTNATGCGCGATCAGCTCTTTCCAGTGAAGGTCGACAATGCGAACAGGAGCATGGTGCTGGACGCAGAAGGGACTGTGCTACCGGGAGCTGCCGAGGCGCTTGGCGCAGAAAACAACGTCAATATTGCCAAGTTGTCTTGGCTGAGCAAGAAAGAATCGGGAAAAGCATACGGATCGATGGTGGTATATGTCACCAAGGAGAGCGACGCCAGACGGCTCGTTGACGGCCACTACTTCGACATAGCCGGCGAATCGGCTACCACGAACGTCTTCGAGCGACGCTCCGGACCAGTGCAATGTTATAACTGCCAGGCCATCGGGCATAAATCATTCCAATGCAAGAATGCACAAGCGTGCGGGAGGTGTGCAATGTCAGGACACCAGCGTAAGGAGTGCCAGGCGGTGGAGCCGAAATGCGTGCCGTGTGGTGGGCCGCACGAGTCGCTTGGCCGAAACTGTCGTATGCGCAGTACTCGCAGCGATGAGTGAAACTTTGAGAATATTGCAGCTCAATGTGCAAAAGCGAGAGCCGGTTCAGCAAAGCTTGATGAACGATGAAACACTCAAAGACTACGGAGTGTTGGCGGTATCCGAGCCGTATGCAAGGCTAGTGGACGACAAGATCGTTACGAGCCCGATGTGGCATAACAACTGGACGAAGATGATACCTACGCAGAAGCACGATGCGCGCTGGCCGATCCGAAGCATGCTTTGGGTGCGGAGCGACATCGAGGCAGAACAGCTGGCGGTCCCCTCAGCGGACCTTACGGCGGCGATGCTTCGGCTGTCAGAGAGGGACATTCTGGTCGTGTCGGTGTACGTGCAAGGAAATAACGAGCAGATACTGCTCTCTGCCATGGAAACGCTGCATGGCCTCATTCGATCATTCCGCGACGGCACAGGCAGACGGACTGACGTGGTGCTGATGGGAGACTTCAATCGACACAACCTACTTTGGACGGGAGATAATGTTGCGACCGGGAGGCAGGGCGAGGCCGAACCGATCGTCGACTTGATGAGCGAACATGGCCTGTGCAGCCTGCTCCCTAGAGGAACGAGGACGTGGCGGAGGCAAGACCAGGAAAGCACCATTGACCTAGTGCTAGCGACGTCGGAGCTGGCGGACGAAATGCTGACATGCGCCCTGCACACGACCGATCACGGGTCAGATCATCAGGCAATCCAGACGACTTTCGATGTCAGACTGCCAGAACGGATCGTGACACCAAGGCTGCTGTTCAAGAACGCTCCGTGGAATCGCATACGGACAAGGGTGGAGGAGGTTCTCGCGCCGCTCCCGTGGACGTCAGACGTGCAGACTCAGACGGACCAGCTGATGAGCGCTGTGACGGGCGCGGTCCATGACATGACGCCTCAGGCAAAGCCATCACAGTATGCGAAACGGTGGTGGACCGACGATCTCACGCGGCTGCGCCGGACGTATGCTTTCTGGCGCAACCAGGCCAGGGCGCGGCGGCGGGCGGCGAGCGCATGTCCTGACCTAGAACGGCGAGCCAAAGAAGCAGCGAAGCAGTACCACGACGCCATTCGGAACCAAAGGAAGTCACACTGGGACGAGTTTCTGGCGGAGGACACCAACATTTGGAAGGCAGCCAAGTATCTGGAACCTGGCAAGGGCGCTATGAGCGACAAGGTGCCGCCGCTGAGGAGGGTGGATGGTACGACCACCACCAATAGGGCGGAACAATCAGAGCACCTACTCGAGACATTCTTTCCTCCCCTACCCGCAGAGATTGGCGATGAAGGCGAGCGGCCCCGGCGGGAGGCACTGGCCCTGCCGCCCTTAACTATGGAGGAGATTGAGGTCAAAGTTATGGCAGCGAAGCCGTGGAGAGCAGCCGGGGCCGACGGCCTCCCAGCGATGGTGTGGAGACAGCTCTGGCCAGTAGTGAAACACCGTGTTCTGGCGCTCTTCCAGGCCTCGCTCCGACATGGCGTTGTGCCCCATCAGTGGAGGACAGCGAAGATCATCCCATTGAAGAAGCCGGAGAAAGGCGACTACACAGTGGCGAGGGCGTGGCGACCGATATCACTGCTGTCGACACTAGGCAAGGTCATGGAAGCGGTCATCGCGGAGCGCATATCATACATGGTGGAGACCCACGGGCTCCTTCCTGCGAACCACTTCGGAGCGCGAAAACGACGGTCGGCCGAGCAGGCGCTCCTCCTGCTGCAGGAGCACATATGTAACGCGTGGAGAGTCCGAAAGGTGCTAAGCCTGGTGAGTTTCGATGTCAAAGGCGCTTATAACGGAGTGTGCAAGGAGCGACTACTCGACAGAATGAGGGCAAGAGGGATACCCATGAGGATAGTGAAATGGGTCGACGCCTTTTGCTCCGCGCGAACGGCTTCGATCGTCGTCAACGGGCACACGTCGGAACTCCGGCAGTTGCCCCAGGCTGGCCTGCCGCAAGGGTCACCGCTGTCGCCGGTCCTCTTTCTGTTCTTCAACGCGGACTTAGTGCAGCGAAGGATCAAGGCGGCAGGCGGATCCATCGCGTTCATTGACGACTATTCGGCTTGGGTGACCGGACCGACCGCGGAGGCGAACCGGATAGGCATCCAGACTATCATTGACGAAGCACTCGGCTGGGCGAAACGCAGCGGCGCGACTTTCGAGGCTGACAAGACGGCGATCATTCACTTCACGCGCACCAAGGCGAGGAGCAGTGACGCATCGTTCTGGATTGAAGGGCTTCAAGTCAAGCCCAAAGATAGCGCGAAAATCCTGGGGGTGATCATGGACGCGGGCTTGCGGTACCGGGAGCACGTGGCCAGCGCTGCTGCGAAAGGGCTCACCGCCGCCATGGGCCTGAAGAGGCTGAGGATGCTGTCGCCGGGGGTGGCGAGGCAGCTGTTCAAGGCGACGGTCGCCCCGGCGATGGACTACGCGTCGAATGTCTGGATGCACGCGCGGCGGGTGGAAGACACTCGCTGGCTGAACAAGGCACAGCGGATTGGTGCTCAGGCCATCACGGGCGTGTTTCGGACTGTCGCAACTGCTGTCTCCAAGGCCGAGGCCAGTATTCAATCGGTTGAGGAGCGGCACAGGCAGGCCGCGACGAGGCTCTGCGTCAACTTGCGGACGCTTCCAAAGACCCACCCGCTAACGACGTTGAAGAACAAAACAAGCAAGCGCTACCCTTCGCCACTGTATGGCATTACTACAATGGTCAGCAAAAGGCCCACGCCGCGGATGGAAATCATTCACGAGTATGCGTTACCACCATGGACGACCCGTATTCAACTGCTGCGCGAGGATGTCCGTACACAAATCGTCGAGGCACCAAGAGATGTACAAGGCCTCATCGTAGTAACGGCCGGTTCCCAGAAGAACAGCCGACTAGGTATAGGAAGCATTGTCTGCGACACGGCGCGTGACAGCGCAGACCGCATTATCGCCACCTGTTCCGCTGCAGTAGGGTCTAGCAGGCAACAAAACCCGTACACGGCAGAACTGGAAGCGATAGCTAAGGCACTGGAATCGATACCATCAAACCTAGCCTCTCGGAATGTGACGGTCATACCAAGCAACCGATCAGTGGTGGCAGCCATCAGGCGGCCTGGACGTCAATCTGGGCAATGCACCGTTCGTCGAATATACGACCGCGTAAAGCACCTCCAGGCCAGCGGCTATTCTGTCGGTCTCATGTGGGAGCCGGCGAACGAAGACAGACAGTCGTTGAGAGCACTAGCGAAAGCTGCGGCACGGCAATCTACCGAACACGACCGTACGGGAATAGCGACATACCAAGCAAGGTCTACAAAGCTGCGGCTGGCACTCACACGGGGGCGACCGTGCGATCGACTGCCGGATGGTGTCGGAAGGTACTCAAAACGCCTCGACAAGGCGCTGCCGGGCACGCACACCCGTTTGCTATATGACTCATTGAAAAGAAGTGAATCAAATGTGCTCGCTCAGCTGCGGACGGGGATGATGCGATTGAACAGCTATCTCAGCAAGATAGGTGCAGTGGAGTCGAGTTTGTGCGAGTGTGGGCAAGCAACAGAGACGGCGGAGCACTTTCTATTTCGGTGCAAAAGATGGACGGAACAACGACGAATCCTTATTGCGTGCTCGAGAACAAAGATTGGCAATCTTTCTTTCTTTATGGGCGGCAAGACTGCGTCGGACGACGACAGGTGGCAACCAGACATGCGAGCCGTACATGCGACCATCAAGTTTGCAATTGCGACGAAAAGGCTGGCATCGACCAGCGTCACTGCGGTCACTAACCCATAACATGCTAGTATGCTAACAAAACAACGTCGACTATGGCAGACCGCGCTTCAGTTGCTGAGAATAGGATGCTGAACACTTGGAGAACCTGGCCTTCAAGCAGGCCTGTCATGGGATCGAACGACGAGGTTGGCCTACAAGCGGCGCGAGGATTTATCTGTAGGGCTTATTGTGTCACGAATGAAACGACCCAGATTGTCGATTAGGTAGCGTTTAGGCCCTATAGGGAGCTCCCTCCGGGCGAAATAAATCCATCCATCCATCCATCCGCCAACGCGTCCTCATTTCAAAACAAACACCATCTAGCATCTCATCGGCTCAAGGCGCTCTTTTGTCGGAGCCTCGCACCCGTCCGCGGGATGTAGAGTTGCATGCGACTCTGCGTCGCTGTCGTCACCCATCTTTCTGATGGGCCTGGGAAGGCTTTTTCCTCACCGGCTGCGTCTCGCAGCCAGAGTGGAGGGCCTCGGCCGGGTGAAGGGCGGTGCAACGCCCTTCACTCGACCGTGACCAAAAATTTTGAAAAACACAAAACACAAAAACGAAAGGAAAGAGAGAGAGTGCTGGTCGCCTAATGGCGCGGACAGATCCTTTGGAAGAAGGAGCTCTCCGACGTCATTTCGACGAAGGCTTTGAAGCCCTTGCCTACTGCATGGTGTACCGCTTCGGCCGGTGAGGGGGTCAGCCTCATCCGGAGCCGTGGCGGTATCTTCCTGCAGTAGAATGGGTGCTCTGGTGCTTTGCGTCGTCCGCATGAGCAATCGAGGCGCGCGTCGTCATGGTTGAAACGCTCGTGGTAGTCGGCGAAGTCTCCGTGGCGAGATCTCGCCGCTAGGAGACTGTGGAGCGTTGCTCTGGGGAGCGCCAGCTCCGGGGGGCAGCTTGTGGTCGCCTCGAGGTTCAGAGGCTTGTATGACTCTGGAGCTTCGGTCGACCACCAAGCTTTGAAGGCGTCGCTCGATTGCTGCCTCGCAAGTCGGCGCAGGTAGGCCAGCGATGGAATGGCTCCTGGCGGTTCGGCCTGCAAACAGCCTGCCTTGGCAAGGCCGTCAGCCTCCTCATTGCCCGGTATGTTGGTGTGTCCTGGTATCCAGCGGACGTGCACGTTTCCGTGCGAGCTCGCCAGTTCTTGGAACCTAGTGAACTTGTCCTGCGATGAGTCGGCTGGGTTGCCTCGCAGACAGCTGGCTACGGCAAGATTGTCGGTACAGACCACGACGTTGCTTGTTGTGTCGCCCAGGCGGAGGGCGGCCCGGAGGCCCTCTAGGGCGCCGGTTGCCTCAGCGTCGAAGACTTCGGATGGACCCAAGCGGCCCGATCCTTGGACTAGAGATTGCTTATCCCGGTGTACTGCAAAGCCGAATCCCACGGCGCCGTTTGGAAGTTGCGACCCGTCGGAGTAGACGATGAGCGTGGCTGCGGCGGCGGTTCCAAGCCATTCGAGGAAGTCACCAGCGGTTTCGGCTTTGTTTGCAGTCTGAAGAGGGCTGGCTTCTGTGTCGGAGTAGTGGCGCGGCAGGAGCGCTGGCCGATGGCACCTCGGAGGAGTTGGTCGGCACGTTGTAGCCTTGATTGGAACGTCGGCTTGACACGTCGGGTCGAGCTGGGGTTCCGAGTGTGCGGCGCCCGAGGGGGTTTCCGCGAGGCCCGTTTAACAAGGGGGTGGCGTCCGTCGAGAGACTTCAAGCGTGCCGAGAAACGGATCTGCTGAGCGGCGAGTGCGATGGACGCAGGCGGCGTGCCAGCTTCGCGGTGCATGGCTGGGATCGGGGTCGTCTTCCACACGGGAAGGGCAGCTCGGGAGGCATGTCTCAGGACTTTGTCCAGACGTAGCACGAGGTGCTTTACTTGCGTGGACTCGAGGCGATTCGGTTTCGCAACGTTTGGCGCCACCTGTCCGGGGTACCACGCTTCTGCGCCGTAGAACAGCTGGCACTTATTCGGCTCGGGAGCTTAGAATGGCCAGAGAATAGGAGGACTCGACGAGGAGTGGCATTCGACGGGGCATGCGAGGGCTGGCGAGACTTCCTCATGTTAATCCGAGATCAGCCGAGTGAGGGTTCCACACCAAGAATGCTTCGCGTGTGCCTCGCCTTTGATGGCTGCCATCATTCCTACAGAAGGGGACGTCTGCCAGAATCGTATACATAGGTTCTGTTCGTTCCGATAGGAGTCCCGTCGATAATAGTGAGGTCTTCCGCCGCAGCCCGATCAGATCGACTTCCTCTTTCTCAAGTCTTGGGCCCATTCATGACAAGGCATACACACATGAAGTCAACTCGCCTGCTCCATGAACACCTCTTGGACAATTTGACCGAGACAACTGTCCTGTGCCGATTAGACACAGCCTTCGCAAGCCCGCTAGCGAGTCGTCGTGGACCATGAACTCGGATGATGCTTCTATGCCTCATCATCCCGATGTACCCGTCCAGCAAAAGCAATCTGCCATGAGGTGACCGACATGGCTGCGCCTTGTCCCGGCACCTACTCTCGCCTGGCAAATGGCGGCGCAGGATGGGCACGACACAGCTCTCCGGCAGTGAACGCGCCATGGTTGGCCCAATTATCGAAGCGGCCGCAGCAGGGAGGGCAACGAAGGTGAACGCAGGAGACTTGCAAATCTCTCGCAAGAGCTCCGGTACAGCAAAGTAGTACCGACCGCCCGACAAGGCGACAACATCCAGGTTCTCCATGGAACCCGGCACTCCGGAAAACGAGTACTTGCGTACTTCGCCATTCGCCTGCAGCTTCAGATCCTCGATCTTTGCCTCCAAAGCCCGCATCGACGTGCGGGATGAGCTCTTGCTCATAGTGGTGGTCTTTTTCTTCCCCGAAGACTTCCTGGCGCTCTTGCTGCCCAGACGTCGTCCTCCACGACGATAAGTTCGTTTCCCACGGAACGAATAAGAGCCGTACGCCATGCTTCTGTGCGTTTTCAAGAGGTTTACAGCCACGCTGTGTTCAAGCCTCGCTTGTAACTTACCAAAGAGAAATCTTCACCGATTGTTAGCTCACAGGTCGTTGTCGGAGCCAACCGGAAAAAAATAAAAAGAGAACCAAGTTCACTTTCTCGAAAAGGCGGGCGCCTCTGCCCCTCTTATACCCCGTATGCCCCCCCCCGGTCGTGAACACAAGCAAGTGTGGATACACCTGCCACACACGTCTGCACGCGTGTAGTCGGCCACGGTCGCTCTCCTCCCATTGGCTCTTAGTAACCAATGCTTCCGCTCTGCTCTCGCATTGTTAAAACTTAACCTGCGCTTACGCTCCGGTCGCTAAAACGTCGGATCCCCTCTCACACAGCTGGTGCTGGTTCCATGGTTCCCCTTATAACCAAACATACAAGCATGCCGTCCCAACCTCTGGTCGGTCCGACATGCCCATAAGGCTCACAAAGGCCGTCGGGTGTCGGGTACAACCCTCCACCGACTTTGAAGACGCTCGCCCTGCTCGCTCTTGTTTTATTCCACATTGCATGTTTCATCGGTATCATTCACCTGGTTCATGTTGTTTCCCTCGCTCTCTACGATCGCTTGGTCACGTGTCTGTAGAGTTGGGGTAGTCCTCGCTCCGTCTACGACTGCGCTGCGGATTTGAACATCTCACCACTCCGTGCCTTACGGCCCGTCGGGTTCGTGCAACCCTGCCGGTGGCTTTTCGTAGTCATGACCATCCCGGCCGGGGGCATCATTCTCATTGGTATCACTCGAGTAACAGCTTACGCACGTGTATCACTACAATCACTTTGTGGGTATTCATCTGTAGCCAGGTCCTTTTCATGTTCGCAGTCTACCTGCTCTACTCCTACTCTCTACAAAGGGTCCCACCGGAGGAGGAAAGGATGAGGTCATTACTCCAACCGTTCTTGAGGACATCACCAGCACGTGACGAAAGAACATCTACCGCCCGGTCAAACCAAGGCAGGAGCTCATCGTCTCCGATGGCAGACGCCAGCAAGTACATGGTCCACATGTTGTTCCAAGCGCAAAGGACGGCTGTTTGGTGAAGGTTGAGCTTATCCCAGCTCAAAACCACGCGCGTCGGATCGTACTCACTCCCGAACACATCAAAGCAATGATGCTTTAGCCAGGGTGCAAACCCAGATGCCTCTGGATCACCGTCGCTGCCCACATCGTTGTCCGCCTCACAGCGGCCCGCGTCTCGCACAATCTCATGAAAGTAGAACCCACACAGGGTTCCTTCGTCCACCGCCGAGTACTTCCTCAAAGCGGTGTTTCGCATCGCACAGCTCCGAATGAAAGCTTCCCGTTGCCCCAAAGGCACATCAGCGTGACCCAGCACACAACGAACCATGACGGTGTTACAGACCAGCAAGGCGGCCGCCAGACGGGCCGGCCCAAGGAAGCCTCACGGACAGAGATCCTGCATATGGCTGGACAGATGCAGGATGGCCGTCACGTGACCCGGCACATGACCACACATGGCTCAGCAAGATCACCACTGAGCCAGCTGATCACGGAAGAGCTGGATGGATATATATACTACAGTCTTTACCCGAGAGTAGATAGCCAGATCTTCAGTGATCAATCTAAGCATTCACCTGAATGAGAAGTCTTCAAGGCTTCTTAACGGACTCTTGCTGAATCGTTTACTGCTCGTCAAACCTAGCTTACCTCCTAAGCAACAGCAAACCTTAGGATCCTACCTTAGGCTCCGTTACATTTTGATCACTCCTGTTCGGTAAGTTACCTTTGACAACTAACGAGCAGTATGTCCACCGCAAGCGGATCGACCTCCAACCCGGAGCGAGCCTACGCTCACATGAGAGCCGAGATCGATCGACTCACGGCTCAGGTACGGCAATTGACGACGGCAGGAGGGACACCCAAGTTCCCAAAGCCAGAACCGTTTGATGGCCAGAAAGGAAGCGTCCGTTCCTTCCTGACCCAAGCAAAGGTCTACCTACGGGTCAACACCTCGATTGGGGGACCCATTCCTCAGATCCTCTGTATCAGCAACCTTCTCACGGGTAAAGCCTTCGAGTGGTGGGAACCCACCCTCAGGGACTACCTTGACAACGAAAGAGACTCCGACAGGGACGAGGAGACCAACATCATCTTCCAGAGCTACGACAATTTTGAACACGCTTTGAGAACCGCTTTCGGGGACCCAGATGAAGCCAAGACAGCCACACGACAGTTGAAGAACTTACGACAAACCGGGTCAGCCACGCACTACAACAGAGAATTCCGAGTACTCTCGTCCAAACTCGACCTTGGGGACAACGCCCTCATGGAATACTTCTATGATGGACTCAAGGAAGATGTAAAGGATGACCTCAGCAAGCTCGACAAACCCGAACGCTTCGACGAATATGTGGAAATGGCAATCAAGATCGACAATCGAAACTACCAGCGCCGACTGGAGCGAGGCAACAAAGGCGGACGGAACATCAAAGTTCAAAGTTCGCGGGCCAATCAAGGGAAGCCCTACCGACACCGCTCCACGGCATACGGAACCCACTCAGGACCCATGGACCTCGATGCCCATGTGGCAAAGAAGGACCAGAAGAAGACCTGTTACAATTGCGGGAAACCAGGACACTTCGCCAACAAATGCAGTCAGAAGAAGAAGTCAAACTGGAAACCGATCCCAGACAGGCGAGCTCAAGTAGCCACACGGGAGGAACCCGTCCGACACGAGCTACTACACTTCTCGGGATGTTACGACGATTCGTGCCAGACCCACCTGTCTGACAAGCAGGGTTCAGGCTGGTACCCTCAGAAGCCCCGAGAACGAAACGTTTCGGTAATGCAACGGGCCCGTGAACGAGTCCTTGACGGGACTTACCAACGGCCAACGTCGCGCCGAAACCCCGAAGATATCGCCCGCGTACAATCCATGATACGTGTGGCTGCACCACAGCAAGTCGACGGACTCCGCAGACTCTTCCAGAGCATGCGAAGTCCCAGTCCTACGACTCCAAGGCTAGCACAAAGCCCACACGACGAAAACCAAGGGGAAGATTGGGAACACCCAACTCAGCCTTATGAGCACCCAGCGTATTACGGGATTCCATCCCCACAATACCAAGAACTCGGCGGCGACAGCGACGAAGACACCTCGGACTCTTCAGAAAGTTCGGAAGGAGAAATGGCACCCCTACCCGTTATGGGGTATGGGAAGGATATCACCACTCCTGAACTCCTGATCTCAATCCTTCGCGCCGAATGGATCCCTGAACGCCGCGTCCTACCAACAGTAGGGGATGCCCCCGGGGCACACCCTGACGACCCAAATCACCGACATGTGCTTTGGCTCCATTGCATCTATCCCACGTGCCCTGTGCATCTTTGGGACAAGCTGGAGTACAAATGGATGCCAACCCGACCTTACGGAATACGACCAAATCCGTACACATGCCGAACGGGTGACTATTTGGAACACCAACTGTTGGTCAAGGAAGACAACGGCACGGCGACGCTACACTACCAGCCTTCGGCAACAACCAGTGTACTCATGCCCATGGACACAAGAGACACATTCAACCAACAGTATCGCAGACATTTCAACGAGGGACAATCGCGAGGCATCAGTACCGCGCTACGACTTGTAAACGGTCACATGACGCCCGGATTACCAGCTACATCCACGCTCGAAGCAGCGACCCCTGCGACTACACCTCTCACTTGGAGGATTAACACTGCTCCATACCTGCACGAACCTCCCTCCGAGCAGCCAAAAAACGAAACGGCCAGGCAGTAAGGGGACTACTACCTGCGGCCAATCAAAGGTTCCTCATGAGCATGGTTACCCAGAATCACGAACACATGCTCCTACCCATGACAATTGGGGGACGAAACATCAAGGCAATGCTAGACAGCGGAGCACAAGGAAACTTTATCTCGCCGAATCTCGTCAACAAACTACGATTGCCTTGGAAACAGAAAGACGAGCCCTACCGACTCAGAAGCGTCGAAGGAACGATAGTCAGCTATGCGCAAGGATGGGTTGATATGGAGACCGCGCACCTCCCAACCTGGATCTGTGGGAAGCGACACGACCTGACACTCGACGTTATGGACATCCCGAACGATGTCATACTAGGGATACCCTGGTTGCGGGCGAGCAATCCCAGAGTCAACTGGTGAACAGGCCATCTCCAATGGGATACACCAGGAAGCGTTTCAGTCACTGAGAAGCGGGTCAACTCCAAAAAACGAGACACCCCCTCAAACGAATCGAAGGAGGCCCTCAGGATATACGTGATTACCAAGGAGCCCAAACCAGTACGATCTGAACGGATTCCCGAGGAATACCGACAGTACGGCAAACTGTTCAGCGACGAGCTAGAAACAGGACTTCCAGAACACAGCCGATGGGACCATGAAATACGCCTCGAGCCTGGAAGCAAACCCAGAATCCACAAGATATATCCACTCAACGAAGAAAAAACAAAAGCCCTCAAAGAATATCTTGCAGAGAACCTGAAGAAAGGATACATTCGACCATCAACCTCACCAGCAGGATTTCCGATTCTGTTCGTACCCAAGAAAAACGGGAAACTCAGAATGTGCGTGGATTATCGGCAACTCAACAACATTACGATCAAGAACCGTTATCCACTACCCTTGATCACGGAATTACAAGACAAGCTCCACGGTGCCAAGTACTTTACGACCTTGGACCTTAAAGGAGCCTACAACCTGATCCGAATCAAGGAAGGCGAAGAATGGAAAACAGCTTTCCGAACAAGGCAGGGACTCTACGAATATCTGGTCATGCCATTCGGCCTGACCAACGCGCCTGCCAGTTTCCAAACCATGATCAACGACGTGCTGCGAGAATACCTCGACATTTTTGTCGTAATCTATCTCGACGACATTCTCATCTTCTCGGAGAATCTCGAAAAACACCGATAATCGTGTCAGACATCTTGGCTACCAACCGTAAATCAGTAGTGAGTAGGCTGTTGTTCAAGCAGTCCACATTGAAGTGCAGCCCCGCAGGGAATATCATGACTATGGAAAGCCACCGGCAGGGTTGCGGTCTAGTGAGGGCCGTGAGGCCCGAGGCTAGACTGTTCAAAACATCGTGAACAGTACGAGGGAGTGGTGTAACCACGACCGGACAACGACAAAAACACGAAAGTGTGAATAAATCAACAGCGAGCAGGGCGAGCGTTGTGAAAAGTCGGTGGAGGGTTGTACCCGACACCCGACGGCTTTTGTGAGCCTTATGGGCAAGTCGGACCGACGACAGTTGGGACGATTTGCCTTTATGTTTGGTCGGGGCTACACCCCTCCCTCCTGTTCTCCGTGACCTCTGAACAGTCCACCATCGTGCCTTACGGCACTCCGTGGACCGCAACCCTGCCGGTGGCTTTCCGTAGTTGTGGCCATCCCTGCCGGGGGCAGCATTCTAGTCTGTAGCCAAGCAACAAAAGCCTACGGACTGGAGTCTACACCAATCACTTTGTGACGATCTACTGGTAGCCAGGATGGATTTGGCAACCCAATCGCCTCATATCACTCAACGCATCCAAGGAAAATCACTTCTACAAAGCTTGCGCCTACAGCTCAAACTCCAATGTATCTCTACAGGGTGTTTTACAACTAAAAGACCTAGCGGGGAGCCGAAGGGGCTCTCCACAAGGCAGGAGCAACGCTTGCCTCGCAGCAAACCAGCGTGCCTTTGCCTCCAAGGGCACCAACTCGGAGAAACCGCCTTTTGCGTGACGCCAACACTGTGTCGAGTCGTTTCCTTTCTTGTGACACCATCCCAAATAGTGTTGCACTGCGCGTAGCACTTCTAACCGGCTCATAGACCCGTGCAAGGGTTCGAACGCGTCGAAAAGAACAAGCGCGGCGCAAGAATTCCAATTCTCGCTGTCGACAGTCGGTTGACTGATCCAAAGTTCTGCCGTCACCGGCACAAAAGCCTCGAGCTCTCGCACAAACGAATCCAACCCCCGGGCGGAATCGAAGAGAAAGTAAGCAGCCACGACGACAGCTTGCCCCGGAGCAAGCCACATATGTTCTGGAGACCAAAACCTCGGTCGGTCCCTCAAAGGGAAGACGCGTGCGTCGTTGAGCTGGGCATTCATCCAGCCCAGTTTCTCAAAGAGAGTGCCGGCCCCCGTCCTCAAAGGAACATGCTCCGTTCCCCACAGGAACTGTTTCGGGCGTCGATCCGTTGTGCTCAGCACCACCTCGCCTGGTGTTTGTGTCGTATGCGCCATGCTGACCGACTCAAGTTGAGTCAATAGTGTCACGCACTTCCGTCCCTCGAACGGCGACAATCAAGTATAGTCCTCAACCTCCCCGGGTTGAATAAAGTCGAGTGTCCCTCCAAAGGAGGGATGGGTGAAAAGAAAAGACCTCGTCCCATGTGCCCGGCACAGATGATGGAGTCGTGGTTACCCTCGAGGGGATGCACACAGCGGTGCTAGCTGTCTCTCGACCAAAGTAAAATATTTACAGGAAAGAGTTTCTCCAACTCCGAAAATGTTTGAGCCATCTGCTCTTTATACCTCTCTGGTAAGTGATTGAATCACGTGGGTGCCCCGCACCTACTTGTAAACACAAGTGTGAGGCGGCATGCAGGATGCCGGCCTGTCCCGCATGGTCTCTCTGATCCCATTCGCTCCCGTTGGTCGCTCTGGCGGTTACGACTATGATCCTTTCCCCTGGTCCGGATCATTTAAGACTCCGTTCTCCGTTGCCCTCCGAACGGTTAGTGACGATGCTCCATGACCGACTGGTGCCGGTTCCATGGTTCGCCTTATAACCAAACATACAGAGATGCCGTCCCAGACTGTCGTCGGTCCGACATCTCCCATAAGGGGAACTGTCACGTGGTCGCGCCTCACCCGGCGCTCCCCCGTCTGTGTCACTCTACGTCATTCACATTCTGTAGCCCTCATCTCCTTTGGGACCTTTGAACAACACAGCCTCGGGCCTTACGGCCCTCACTGTGTCGCAACCCTGCCGGTGGCTTTCCATAGTCATGAGCCGGGCCTCCGGCGGTGATCATTGTCATTGGTACCAGTGAAGTTCACTACAACGCATCTCTGTACACTACGGCTACTCTTCTACGTCTTCAAAGTACATTACATCCTTCACTTCCTGAATGACCGCCCCGGATTCACGAAAATACTTCGCGAGCTTGTTATCAAGCAGGACGCTGTTGTCCTCATTGCAAGTCCAAATGACTGGCTTGCCCCACTTCACCGTCAGCTCTTGACGGTACTTACCCGTGGCAGTGATATACTCTTGACACCCAGCAAGGTCGCGCTTGTGAGGAAAGTCTGTGACGTCGATGTCATTGATGACAAGATGGGTGACGTCTTCTCGCAGAAGCTCGTCCAAGTTCCATCCACCATTCATGATAGCTGGATTGCCAAAACTGGTTGCCCACTCCGTCTTACCCACTTTAGATGGCCCAACAAGGACCAAGGATGTCGGGCGGCCGCCGCCCTTGACCGGGAAATTCCTGCGCCTCCACTGGAGCATGCGCTTCGACACTCGCCAAGGCTTTGCCTTGTAACTTCGCTCTCGGCGGGGACAAGACCTGTCCTTCTTCGTCTTCAACAAGGCTTGCACGTTCCACTGTTGCCAAAGCCATTTCTTCCTGAAATGCTCAATGATGATCGCCTCCGCTTCATCTCTGTATTCGCACTCCACCAGTGCTTTCTCCCACTTTTCCACTGTCACGTGGTCGCGCCTCACCCGGCGCTCCCCCGTCTGTGTCACTCTACGTCATTCACATTCTGTAGCCCTCATCTCCTTCGGGACCTTTGAACAAACCTATTATATCCTCTTAATGGGCGAGAGCTTCCTTTGACGATAATGATGGGCGCCACGGAACCAGGTTTGCTTCTCCCTCCACTGAGCAGGCAACCGAGCTCCCCGGTACTTGAGCATGACGGCCCGGGATCTGGTCGTGGTCCGAAACCGTAGGTCCACGGTGTGGGTAGCTCCTGGCACTCGGACAAATGCTTGATGACTCTACCGATAGGGCTACTGTACCATGGAATCGCTTGGGCCACTGTCGAGGCTAGCGCAGCATTGCTGGCATCTCGTCACCGACCCCCGACCCAGGCGAGGTGGCTTGGGCCTGCATGACCGATAAGCCATCTACTGTACGGTCTCCAGTACCGAATGGTGAGGACCTGAGTCCAAATGTTCACTTTTTGACACCGCCCATGACGTCATATTTACGTCGGGGTTGCGCTGCCTCGCCTCTCGTGAGTGGTGGGCATCGTCACGGTGCATAATTGCGGTTCTATCCCAGTTAAACGTCATTTTTGCAGGGCTTCTTCCCCTGTCAAGACCAAATTTTGTCTTCGCTCTAACACAAAATCAACATCTTTCAGGCGGCCATGAGCGCTTCTAAGGACACAAAGCCTAACGGTGAAAAGGAGCTGCGCCTCAAGCACCTGTACGGAAGGATACCACGCAAAGGGGACCTTCTCGCTCATCAGTTGGAGGTATCCAAGATAGTACAGGGTCCTGTAATTGGCCGGACTTGGCTAACCATCGTGGTCTGGTACAGGGAAGGAAGTACTTCGACTCCGGTGACTTTTCTCTCTCCCAGGCACAAAAGTCTTCGGATGCTGGTGCGGTAAAGACTGGGAGCGAGCATCCCCTCCGAGAGGGTATATCTCAGCCATTTTCTGCAGTTCCGAGCTCGAGCAATGTCAGAGACATTTCGCAGCAGCAGGAGCAAGGTGAAGGAGGATCTGGCAAGGCAAGATCTGGCAGTCAACTCCGAGAGGGCCAGTTATCTGGCAGATTTGGAGAGGCGGAACAAGCGAAGAAAGAGCACTAGATCGTCGTGCCAAGCCCTACACTTCTGGGCTACTGTGCGCCTCCAGGCCATTCTGGTTCGAGGTGACTTGGGGAAGCCGAGCTGTGCACCAAGTGGCCCTCGTGCACCCGCGCACAAGGGCGACTGATACACTGGCGCCCGGGCGCGGTTTTCTCCACAAGGCCAGCGGCCACCACAGCCAATCGTGACTGCTGTAGCACACAACCAGAGTCGCCGACGCAAAGAAATAGCAGATTGCCCAACCGAAGACTCTATGTTTTGACAAAGATACAACTGTCTGTGCTATCAGCTACCGAGTACAAGGCTTCTTGCTCTCGGCTGTCCCTCTCTATCCTCTGCCATGTCTCCTTCACACCCCTTCTCGCGTTCGCTAGGGGATTGTCTCCCATCTCCTCCGCGACCTGGGCTTCCACCCGTTCGTCTTCTGCTTTACTCCAATCTAAATATGCCATCATCTCTTCTTTAGTCCAGCTTCTTCGCCCTGTCGAGGTAACGCAGAGCGCAGACATTTGTTTGTAGTCCAAACACCATTCATAGCTCTGTTTGTCATATCTTTGTGGAAGAGCCATCGCCTTGCGATATTGTTGGTTGGCCTTTATACTACCTGTGGGCTGTGCGTCATACCATGCCTGTCGTGACGCAATGTATCTTGCATAGATAGCTTCTGGGGCATCATAGCGCACTGCAGGTTGCAACTTGTCGTGCTCCAACCTTGACAGCTCTTCAACAGGAAGAGGTTCGGGAGTGTCGGGAACCGGATCTGGCGAGGCACCAATAGAACCCTCTCTGTCGGCGGACGGGCAAGGATTGGCAGCCATCCGAGGTGGTGAGACGCTGTTTGGCATGTGCGCCGCGGACGGTGATCTCACGGACTGATTCATTCCGCGAAGAATCTCCAGGTGCATCGATAGATCCACCACTGAGGAAGGTGGTTCAGCCGATGCGGTTCGGGCAGGTACTGGCTGGTCCGTAGCTGGCTCGACAGTCGAATTCACCTTCTCTGCAAGTGGTGCCGGTATATCCTTGAATCTCAGTGGACAGGCCTTGGACGTCATGATATGGCCAATTGCATGGCACCTGCTGCACCTTGGAGCTCGTCGTCTGCCCTCAACCTCCTCGAATGCGGAAGGCTCTCGTCTTGTGCTCGTGACCGGCTGCGTGCGCCTTTGATCAAACGCATCGACGACCCGGCGTGGCTCTAGTATTTGCAGCGGTTGGGTTATGTCTCGCTTTAAATGCCAATGAGGATGGAAGTGTTGCAGCGACAGTCCGTTTCCCTCGTCCTCCAGTTTTTGTAGCATGTGTGAACATGGAAGTCCATGTGAGGGTGTAAAAGTTCGACTACAGGGAGGATGGCCCGGCCGCATGTGCAGCTGCCGCTGTTCTTGTACCTTACGCAGTGCTTGATGGGACACCCAGCCTCGAACAGATTCGAACAATGCTCCGGATATGTCCAAAGGCGCCCGTACTTGCTGGGAGACCCGCACATACTTGAGCTCTTTCAGCTGGCCGATGATAGTGCGCTTCATCGTCCGCCAAACTTCGAAAAGGTCTAATCTAGACGTCTTGATGTGCGACTTCATTAGCGAATGAATGCCCTCGGCTCTAGACGTGCGTGTTAGCTTTAACTTTGCGTGATCTATTCTCCACGGCGCACAGTACCTCGAGGTGGCCACATTACCAAAGTGCAGGTGCACATCTACCCATGCCTTGACGATCATCTCTTTGTGTGGTTCGAGCCAGTAAGTTTTGATGTACCCGACTGAGTCAAGGTACCTGTCTTTATACTTAAGTTCGAATTTCGCTAGGCGCTCTTCCAAGCTTCTCTCGTCTGGCGAGGCCACGACTGAGTGCCACATGGCGTAGAATTCCTTCCATGCCTGCTCCTCGGTGGGCTGCGAGGTGCGATCGTTGTGGCAGGCAAAACATGGCCGGCAGCGCTGTAATACGGCCTTATTAACGTGCCAGATGCACAGGAGGGCTTTAGATGACGAGAACCAGATTGCTGCCGCATTGATCGCCGCTAAGCATCGATCGGTCAAAATAACAGAAGGGAGTTCGCGTTGGTATAGTGATTTGAGATGTTGTAAAGCCCAGGAGTAATCCTCTTCTGATTCCCCGGAAAGAAACGCGAATGCAATACAGAACGAGCGCTGACATGAGTCGACTCCGACCATATCAAGAAGTGGGAGCCGGTGTTTGTTCGTCTTGTAGGTACAGTCCAATAACAAACGTCTGGGTTGCATTGCAGATGAGCCACGGAGTCCGGATGGGCAAAGAATATGGCCGTCAAGCGATTGTCGGCATCCAATCGGACTCGGCACCAAAAGCCTTCGTTGCATAACTGATCAACCAATGCTTGGATGCTGCTCTGTCCTTCCCGAAGGTCTCTTTTTGTCTCGGCAATCCGGTTATATATATCTCGTTGGGTCGCGAGGGTATCCGAATGATTATGAAGATACGTTCTGATGTCGCGCGGGGCGCTACCAGACGTAGCGAGATTCGAAATGCTTATAGCGTCGCGCTTTTCGAGCCGGCGATGCGCTGGGTGGGCCGCCGGGTCTTCGCTTGGCGGGTGATTGTGCTCACCGCACTCTTTGTCTGGTCGATGGCCTAGGGTCCAGGTGCTTCTGTCCAGTGACTCTTTCGCTAGCACGGAGAATTTGCAGCCTGTTTTCCGGCTCGCCGTGCGCCGCACTCGCTCGACTGCGTGACTTGGAGGTAGTCTGTTTCGATCGCACGCGTACACGATCTTGACCCGGCCGTTCGGCGTTTTCGAGGATTTACCCGTCGTAAATGCATAACCTCTGGGTTTTGCCCACTCGTTGATGGCTTTGAATAGAGCCTCGCGGGAGTCATACACACCTTCCGGCGGGAGCGCGTCATCGGCAAACGCTGATGCCATGGTTGGTCGGTCCTTGGGTCAATCCATGGGTGTGTTGTGGATCGAACGCGCCCAGGCGTTTCTGTGGGCTGGGGGGAAAAACGCGCCCAGGCGCCAATTTTAAAATGGCGCCCGGGCGCCAGTGTATCAGTCGCCTGGTACATCGCCAGCGACGACTCCGAAATTGGTGCTCTCATGGCGTATAGACCGACTTAGCGCAATGTACATAGCGGTGGCTTGGTACGGAATGACGTTCAGCACCTGACGATGACCCCTTTAGGTACAAGCATGCCGTAGCCCCGGCCCGTTGCCGGAGTAGCAGAGCTGGCGAGCACCGATCCCGACTACGATCACGACGACAGGACATACCGACAGAGACGGCTCGGGGAGTTGCCTGCCTGAATTGGGTCGGTACACTACCAACCTCTATTCAGTCACTAAATAGAAGGAAACAAGAAAATTTCGTTGCCCGACTCCCAGCGGACCTTCTTGGTCGTCAGCTAGTTACGCACTCAGGCCGTGCGACATCAGGTAGCCTGCCGCTTTCGGGAGCGCCAGTCGCGTGCGATCCCGTGCAAGCGGTCTCACGGTACCCGCGACTCAATTCCATGGTCAGGGGTGCCGAGCTAGTAAGTCACTCCATAGACCTTAAGGATCCAGCCTGGCTGTCGTAGACACGAGACAGAACCTAAAGTGGGGCAGCATCGGAATCGCGACTATCTAGCCTGCTGGTGACCAGAATCGCACGGTTTGATAAGCCACTTCAGCAGTTTCCTCATCAGAAGTTGCCTATGTACCGGTTTAGCAATGTAGTCATCGAAGCCATTCTCCAAACAGCGTTCCATATCGCCTTTGAGCGCGTATGCCGTCATGGGAAGGATTGGTAGCCGCATGGCGCCGTTTCGTATCTGCATCGTTGCCTCGTAACCATTCATGACGGGCATGCTGATGTCCATACGTACCAAATCAAAGGCATTAGGCGTTTTCGAGAGCACAGAGACAGCTTGCGCGCCGTCAGAGACGACTGTGATGTGCAGGAACCCAAAGGCACGTAGCATTCCGACAAGGACCTTTTGATTGATGACATTATCCTCAGCTGCAAGAATCCGTGCTGCCGGTGCAATCTCCATCAACTGTGCCAGTTCTCCGGCAGCATTGTCGTCGTCTTGCGTGACATGCAGCGTCTTCGGGGTTTGGCCAGATACTTGGTCGTGAGCTGATCGAGCCTCTTGGAGGTTGTCGCTCCCCTTGAGCTTAACTGTGAACCAAAAGATGCTGCCGTGTGGCTCTAGATTAGGGCTGTATCCAATATGAACCCCCATCAATTCAGCCAGCGATTTGGCGATGGACAGTCCGAGACCGGTTCCTTCACGACGCTTCTGGTACGTAGTGTCGAGCTGCGTGAATGGCTCGAAGAGCTTTGGGACTTCCTTGTTGGACAAGCCAGGCCCGGCGTCCGCAACCTCAGTCATGATTGTATATGTCCCGGCGTCCTGTGTGAGCAGCGACACGCTCATTTGAATGAGTCCTCGTTCAGTGAATTTAGCTGCGTTGCTGACGATGTTTTCAGCGACCTGGCGGAATCTGAGAGCATCACCATCTGCCCACTTTGGGAGATCTGGTGCGAGGTGTAGCTTGAGTGACACTCCTGGATTCAAGGAGGCCCGACAGCTGCCCACAACGGAAGCGATTATACTGGCCACGTCCATAATGTCGCTATTGATGGAAAGGCTATATGCTGCAAGTTTGGAGTAATCGAGAGTGTCGTTGATAATCTGCAACATGACACGGCCCGAGTCCTCAATCATATTAGCCATTTCCAGTTGTTTCTCGGTCAGCCCGCTGTCTAGAAGCAGTGCGCAGGCGGAGAGCATGCCGTGCATGGGGGTCCGAATCTCGTGGCTGATATTGGCTAGAAAGTCGCTTTTCAACTTGCCGCTCTCTTCGTAGGCGGCAATAAGTCGCAACTCGGCCTCCTTTCGCTCAGTCAGGTCCCGCGTGACTTTGCCGAAGCCGACGTGGACGCCGTGGTTGTAGATCGGGATAATAACGACATTGGCCCAAAATCGCGTACCGTCCTTTCGATACCTCCAACCCTCATCCTCTGCCCTGCCCTCTCGTAAGGATATCTCGAGCGCCCTCTCCGGCTTGTGGGATTGGACGTCATCAGCGCTGTAGAAGATGGAGAAATGCTTGCCCACGATCTCTTCTTTTTCGTAACCCTCATCCAGCTCCGCTCCCGTTTTCCAGGTCACGAGGTTTCCGCGAGTGTCTAAAAGGAAGATAGCGAGCTCCTTGACAGCCTGAACAAGGATGCGGAAGGCGTCCTCGTTGGGTAGCCGATTCCGAGGCACCTCACCATCGGCAACGGTTACGTTGACCTTGTCCACCTCCCATTCCAACATAAGCCCCAAAAGCTCCTCATCCCGGTGGATGGGAAGAATGCGTGCATTCCAGGAGACGCTGCCTGCTACATAGGCAGCATGGCACAGACGAACGGCTCGAGCAGTGATGGCAGACTCAATGGCGTAGACGAGAGGAATGCGATCGAATCGCTCCGTTAGTGAACCCTCATAGAGGGAGATGAATAGGTCTCGATCCACGAGTTGATCCCTTCTGCAATCCCATGCCTCCAGTAAAGCGATTGAGGCTCTCTGGATGCGGTTCGATGGTGAAATGTGCAAGGTTGGGACTGGGGAATAGTCCAGAAGGTCGCTCATCCCGGAGACTGCTGCGGGACCTCTCGTCGGGGCCTTGCTGATGCGTAGCGGCTGCTGTGGGGCAGGAACGCTGGCAACAGTGGAGCTAGTCGTTGATCGGTCGGCAAGGGGTGGGTCGTCCTCAGCGGGGCGTTTGCGTCCTCGGATCATGGTGGTGTCAACCTGGTCAAGGAGTGATCCGTTGGTGTAAAATAGATTTGAGGGTGAACGTCGATGGTGAGAATGTCGACAGGATATCGCGTTGTGGCAGCAAGTGACGTCGTGGGTGGACCTCGTAGCATTTAGTTCAAAGAAGCCTTTTCCTGGTTCAGAGTGACTATCACCGCATCTCGCTGCATTAGGTAGTGCAAAACTGTCCTCAACCTCACCTGTACCTCAACGTAATCGGCCTTCAGCAGCTCCAACGCTTCCGAGCAACGTCTGAGGCTATGCACTACATTTTCGCCATCCATTCCATTCGATACCTCTGTGTTGCAACATTGTTGCAGAGTGTCACAGGCTGACTGTACCCTGACCAAGCCCAGGGCAGCAGATGAGCCGCCGAGAAAGTGAGCGGAGAGGCGCAACTGTTCGAAGTCCCTACTGTTCCTATTATAACCGTATCATCACTGATCAGCAAGTGCACAGGTTGACTAAGTCTTCCGATGTCGGTCTCTTATCCACGTCTGCATGGAGGAGAAACGCCCCAAAAAATGACTGTGTTCATAGCCGGAGGCAAACTCACAGTGCTTGAGACATAGACGCTACTACTTCATCAGCTTGATGGATGTATTCCACGATAATGGCTTGACTGAAGTCTCCCTGACCGGGCTCGTCAAGCTCGAGAAGTTGGCGGAATACATTGATGTTGACAATGTCGCCAAGCAACAGTCTCAAGGTCTCGGAAATAGTGTCCTGGTCGAGTGCTAGTCAGTACCACACAACAAGCTAACATCAGCCGACTGACTTCCGCCGGATTGCTCATCCTTGTTCACGATGCACATGCGAAATGGCAGTCGCACATGATTGCCTCGTCAGTCCTGAACTGTAGTCGCTAGTGAGGAGTCCAAACTGCGGGGTCTCCCATTTCGCACGGCACTCGATTGCAGATATTTATCTTACCTACCACCGGGGTCGGCCACAGCCACGAAGTCTAATTCGCCAGGAAACCGATTTGGCTCCGCATCTCCAACCGGGGTCGACCCACGGTGATTGTGGCGCCCCGACCATGGCCTTGCACTTCATGTCCCATAGTCCTGGTGTCAGACACTGGCTCCACAGGGATCACATTTGGCATTGTGAAACTTGCTTGCTTTATTCTTCGGTGCTGCAAGTGGGTGCGTCTGTGACATAGTTCGCAGGTCCATGCAGAGCCTCGTCGCAGCCTGCCTATGCCGTTCACCTACTGCGCGGATGCCGGCCTCGAGCCTCAGGCACAGCGGTTGCCACGGTCTGGAACGATCCCGTGATGGCCTGCGCACCAATTCGTTGCCCTTTATTGAACCAGCCAGTTCCTTTCGCTCGACGCGCGTGTATCCAGACATTCGACGCATGGTCCATGGCAGGGGCGGCCGTCGCCATGAACAACTGTCTCCCTACCCTCGGTGAGGGCTACTTCAGCCACTTCAAACTCATGGCAGCGGCGAGGCCCTTCTCGGCAGCTCTGCCCATATACTTCTAGTACCGCAATCCGGAGTCTCTGAACAACCTCGGGATTATCTTCATGACAGATACTCAAGGACGGGAGCAGTGGCAGATCTCGAGGAGGTCATCCGATTAGGATGAGAAGCCATTGATGCTACTCTGCTAGACCCTCCTGACCGGGCTGGGTGGCTGAGCAACCTCTGAAATTATCTAGGCAACAGGTACTCACGGACGGGAGCGGTGGCAGACCAGGAGTTAGCCACGCAATGCTTCATGCCAGCATTGCATCAATCCATCTCCCTGTTTACATCCGCATCACAGCCGGCAGGCGTCTTGTCTTTCCAGCCACCCTTCTGCATGTACAAGCATATACCTTGCCAAAACGACAATCGGCCTGATTCCCCTATTGACACCTCGGTCCCTCCACAACACAGGTTAGCGGCATGCCTCGCCGCTGTCGGATTGTCCTCCGATGCGGCCGCTATTGCACTTCGCGGCAATAATGGCCCGGCTGGTGCTCTCGAACGTCTTGAGACAGGTCATGGTGTCATTGCAGGAGGCCGCTTCGAGCAATCCGACCTTCCGGCCCTTGAAGACCAGTACCCCGACCTGGCGCGTTCATCGAGCTGCGAGATCGGCTAGACGCGTCCCCGCCGGTAGGCTCCCTTGCTACGGCCGAGCGCCCTACCGGCGCTGGCGCCGACGTACAGCAGCGTCGCCGCCGGCCGCAGCCCTCTCCAGGCCCCCGGGGGCCACGCCACTCCCACTGTAGCGGCCCTCACAACCAAACAGCCGACCTACGTCCCCGGGGACGACCAATGGCCACCTCACCGAAAGACGACCTCCGAGTCTTCGTGCGACTTGTCACCGAAGCGCCGGCGGGGAAGTTCGAAATGTATGCGCTCGGGCCGTTGGCTTGAGATGCACCAAAATCGGCTTCTCGTCCTGGGCGCATCATGAGCGCATCCGCGGAAGTCGTGCCGGCATGCAGTGGCCCGCGCCAGACGCGAGTCTCGGCCCGACGCCGATGTCGGACAGGCCACCAAGTGGCGGTTGGCGACTTGTGCGACCGCCGTCGAGCAAATGTGCACATTGGCAAGGACGAACACCAAGAGTGTGTATAGCGGGATGAAGAGTCCAAGGATACTAGAAGCTAGGGCCCGCGTTCTTATTATAGGCGTCCTAAAATGGAATTGCCCGGCGGAGCGACTGAATTGGGGCGAGGTTGTCGACTTGCTTTTTCGGTGCGCGCGAGAGTGGTCAACGGAGGCACCTGCGTCTGTCCGCGACAGGACCTGCAACAGACCGCCGTGCGATTCTTTGCAATCGTAGCGGCGTCGCTGGCGTAGTCCGAATTCTTTCCTTGCGAACCCGTGCTGGCAGAGGCCCAAAAAGCACGACAATGACCGCACGCCCATCCCGCCCAAGGGCGGCCAAGTCAGGCGAGCGACGACGGGATTCGAGCGATTGAGGAGAACACCTGCAAATAAGCATGCACCGTGTCTCCCTTACGAGGTGGTCTTGCTATCGCCTCGTAAGCGTGGTTCCTCGAGGCCAGGGGCCACCACATTTTACACACAGCCAAAGTTATGATGGTTTCCGGCTGTCACACGCAGGCGCAACAACGTTGTGCCGTGAACCCTGACCTAGAGGCCTATGAGCAATAACCATCAACAGGCGCTTGTCTTGCACGGTCTGCCGGCCCTTGCGGGTACCCATGGCTGAAGTCACAGGGCGCAGGGAGGATCCTGTTTGTCAACCCACCGCTGGGGGAGTTTCCACGAACTCGACTAACTATAGTTCCGCCGGCATGGTAACAACCTGCTCCCGTACGACAACCCCAATCCAATTCTTATAGAAAGGGTTACCACTTGCAATCGTCCTTGATAATATTCAGACTCCATCTCACATTCGCATTACGCGTTTGTCTGTTCCTAACTGACCTCTGCGCACCCGGGGATCGAGCTGCCTTCTCCTGTCCTGTCCTAGCTGCGTTCTCCTGTCCTTTTGAGCCCACTTTTATTACGGCGTACCGCCAGCGTCGCTCCTGAACTCCATTTCTCCGGCATCGCAAGTCTCACCGCGATCACCAAGCCCTCTGCCTACAGTGCCCAATTGCTCACTGTTTTGGAACCGAAGCCTGCCTCCCAGTTCGCCAACAGCGACAATGGCCGAAATGACTGCATCTTTGCCTACAATTTCGCATGCAGCTGCGACTGTCTTGGCTTGGGGCTGCGGCATATGGCAGGGGTCGTGGTCCAGTTCTGCTCTGTTTCTCTGGACCAAGAGCTGAGCCTGCATATCATCAACGCCTGTGGCCGAACAAATGATGATTTGCCCATTGAAACTATCTGCCGGAAGGACTGATTCATCGGCCGAAGACCTATTGACAGCCCCTCGACTTGTAACGAGAAGAGGTCAGTCCAAAGTTGTGCAATGCATCAGCTGGAATGAGAACCGAACTTTGGCGTCGTGCGGACGAACCCATCTCCTTCCCTTGGGCCACTTGCCGCCGACACGCCACCGACAGTATGATCCCAGCTAGGCGCCCCAACGACTGGCGGTTGCGTCGGGTACACCGTTGATAGGTTGGCATCGGCTATCTCCTGGGTGCACGGAGCGGCAACTCGGGATCGACTTTGCAGGCTCCGCATCAATGGGACGGACTCCGAATCTTGGGGATAAATCCATTCGAGCTCCTCGGCCGATGAAGGAAGTAATGCCCGCGATACGAATACTTTGCCCCGACTCGTTCTCACCTCAACAAAATTGCTGTCCATGTTAGAGAGCGACGTGACGCGGGAAGCGCTGCGCATTCTGTGACGTCAACGTCACCAAATTTTGGGCAGTGAGGATGTGGGGCGCCGTAATAGGGAAGCCCGAATCACGTGCTCATCATTGGATAATCCGCAGAGTCGCCTTAGGCCCACCGGAGGACCCGCCCAGCCCCCGCGAGGCAATACAGAAAACGATCCATGACAGAGAAGTGAATAACTGGACTCAAGAGCAGATAGACCCATTTGTTGCACCACCGCGCTGGCAAGGGCCGCAAACTTACATTGAAGAGACAGCAGACGAGGCTCGCAAGAAGCACTTTGCCCTCTTACTACAGGAAAAATCAGCCCTACACATATACACAGACGGAAGCGGCATCAACGGACAGATCGGCGCGGCAGCGGTCTGCCCGACAATACAGCAGTCGCGAAGCTCATACTTGGGACCCGAGGACGTCTCGACGGTCTACGCCAGCGAGCTGCAGGGCATCTCGCTAGCGCTCGATATCGCACGACGAGATCGAGCCGAAGGCTATAGACGCAACAAGGTCATCATCTACACCGGCAACCAGGCAGCCATCCGCTCTTCAGCCAAGCCCAAGGGTAAATCTGGAGCGTATCTACTGAAGATCGTATCCCAGACGACAACACTGCAGGAACACAAACTTACCGATTGAGATACGATGGGTCCCGGCCCACACCGGAGTGCAAGGTAACGAAGACGCGGACAGAGCAGCCAAGGAAGCCACAGGATGGCGCGAGCGCGGATTGGCAGCTCCGCGAGCAGAGATGCCCGCGGAGCTTTACTCTCTCCGCTCCACACGGAAGACATGGACGCACAAAGAAGCCCACAAGACCTGGACGGCGAGGCGGGCGGCTGCGAAGCGAGGCAGGACCTCGTACCGCTACATCCCCAAGCCGACCGAAAAGGTCCTACGGCTGCACGACGGACTGAGTAAGCGCCAGAGCGCGCTTCTTGTCTAGATGCGAACAGAGAAGATAGGACTCAAAGACTTCCTCTTCAACCGGAGAGTGCCGGACGCCACGGACGCCCAGTGCCCATGCCGGGAAGGACGCAAAACGGTATCGCACGTCCTGCTGCGATGCCGCAAGTATCGACAACTCAGGGGCCAGGAACTAGGCCCCCTTCCAGGACGACACGACCTCCGGGACATATTGAGCGAGCGCAAGGCAGCCGCAAAGGCCATCAAGTTTATGGAACTGACGGAGATCGTTGGGCAATTCAGGATCGTGTCCCACACCAGACAAAGCTGAGCATTGGGGGGAGACTGTAGGTATGCGGACCCAAGACATGGGGCGAATCGTCTCGACAGAGCCTGTATACATTGAAGATTAGCAGAGAACCGCGGTCTACACGAGGTGGTGGCCACGGATAGATTGAGGTTGAGGAGCAAAGTGGGAATTCTGGGGGCAACTGGTCGGGGCATTGTTCACATTGCGCTGGCGAAGTGGGGCGTCCGGATTAACTTCCGGCCGCGTCGGCTGCCTGCCAGACCCCGCTCACCGGGCATGGCTGCGGTTAAATTAGCGACTACAACCGAGTAGAAATACAGTTCAGTTCAGTTCAGTTCAGATGACCCGCCACAAGGCTCGCCTGCAGTACCCACGTGCGCGGCCAGCCGTACGGCCCGACCATGGATGGGTAGCGTTGATGATGCAGCCAGAGCTAGGCGGTGATGCCATGTGTCCTTGCCGTTAGATTTTGCGCCATTACTGGGAAAATGCAAACAAAAAGGCAGGGGTAAGTTCATTGCACAACTCGTCACACAATTGTGGCATTGACGGGACGCCAGAATTGCAAAGGCTGCAAGGACGCATACTTCGACAAGATGCGATGGGTGTCAGCCAGCACGCCATATTGTGGGACAAATGGGGCGACTGAGAGTGGCTCGTAAATGGAGCGAGTGCGTTGCTCCACAGGGGACGCGCAACCGACGGCCTGCGGGGGATGGCAAAACACGCGGCAGAGTCCGACTCCGTGGGTGCTTCGCATCTAGCACTCCGGCTTACGCCATGGGCGAACCTGTCGGAACGAGAAGGGGAAGCTCGAGTCTACTCACATCTCATTCGGACTTGGCGGTTAGCAGCCAGAGGCATGTCAGCAACCGCCTTCCGAGCCGGCGAATATCCGACTCAGCTTATCCCGCAGCGCATCGTTTGCCACCGTGGTCCTCCTGGCAAGGATGTTTTTTTTGGCCACTCTCAGTCCTGTTAATCGGCGGTGCTATCACCAGTCGGTGAATTCAATTCGCCGAAGTTTGGCAGGTCGCCTTGTCATGGCCATTTGGTTTGTTGATTGTAAGCCCAAGGTCCGACCAAGCGGACCTTGCGGCTGACTTTGGAAGCCACGCGGGAAGCACCGTGGAGCACGTAGCGGCTCTCCACATGAGTTTGGTACGCTTGGCTGATATATATACGGGGTCCATCGCAACAGCAGAGGAGGACTGGGGATCAGCAAAGGGACCAGAGCGCATCTGATTCAACTGAATGAGCATTTTAGCCAGTGTTGCTGTGAAGCGAGTGTCTCAATATCGCATTTGGTAGGCTTTGTATATACTCAGGTGTCATTTCCGCAACGGTTTTCATCCCGTCTAAGCTTGGATGCAAAACACCCTACCTGAACTTGAATAGCAGACACTGTGGGAATCCGGGTAGCCAAGACTGGTCGCCGCCAAGCCTATGGCCTCGCTTGCTTTCGCAACACGAACCCGTGTGCACCAGGTGGTGCGGGATGGTATGCTCTTGCGTGGTACAGGACGCATGCCAGGCAGACTGAACGCACCCATGAACATGCCCACACCTTAAAAATGCGCGCGACGTGTCTATTGGCCTGTGATTCAATCATTTCAATGTTCCTTGCCAAAGACGTTCCATCTCGATGGTGGCCCGCCGTGTGATCTCCTTCGAATCGATGCGACGCCCGATTTCTGCGGTTCTGGTTAGTTCTAAGTGGGAAGGGTGGCAGGGCGCAGTAAGCCACCTCCGAGCCGGTGGCCAGCCACGACCGCCAGATTCGGAAGTAGCCTCTGGCGGATACTGGGGCTCATGGAGCGTCACCGCGGGACGATTTCGGCTATGGGATATCCTTTTTCCTTTCCATACCACCGCCCATGATGTCACATGCTACCACAACTCGAAATCCTGTCGTAATTCTCGCCATGGACGTTCACCCTCATATCTATTTGACGCCAACGGATCACCGTTAACCAGGTTGGCAGCACCATGATTCGAGGACGGAAACGTCCCGCTGAGGACGACCCCCTTACCGACCGATCGACGCTTAGCTCGACTGTTGCCAGCTTTCCTACCCCACAGCAGCCGCTACGCATCAGTAAGGCCCCGACGGGAGGCCCCGCAGCGGTTTCCGAGATGAGCGGCCTTCTGGACTATTCCCCAGTCCCAACCTTGCTCGTCTCACCATCGAACCGCATCCAGAGAGCTTCAATCGCTTTACTGGAGGCATGGGATTGCAGAAGGGATCAACTCGTGGATCGAGACCTATTCATCTCCCTCTATGAGGGTTCACTAACGGAGCGATTCGATCGCATTCCTCTCGTCTACGCCATTGAGTCTGCCATCACTGCTCGAGCCGTTCGTCTGTGCCATGCTGCCTATGTAGCAGGCAGCGTCTCCTGGAATGCACGCATTCTTCCCATCCACCGGGATGAGGAGCTTTTGGGGCTTATGTTGGAATGGGAGGTGGACAAGGTCAACGTAACCGTTGCCGATGGTGAGGTGCCTCGGAATCGGCTACCCAACGAGGACGCCTTCCGCATCCTTGTTCAGGCTGTCAAGGAGCTCGCTATCTTCCTTTTAGACACTCGCGGAAACCTCGTGACCTGGAAAACGGGAGCGGAGCTGGATGAGGGTTACGAAAAAGAAGAGATCGTGGGCAAGCATTTCTCCATCTTCTACAGCGCTGATGACGTCCAATCCCACAAGCCGGAGAGGGCGCTCGAGATATCCTTACGAGAGGGCAGGGCAGAGGATGAGGGTTGGAGGTATCGAAAGGACGGTACGCGATTTTGGGCCAATGTCGTTATTATCCCGATCTACAACCACGGCGTCCACGTCGGCTTCGGCAAAGTCACGCGGGACCTGACTGAGCGAAAGGAGGCCGAGTTGCGACTTATTGCCGCCTACGAAGAGAGCGGCAAGTTGAAAAGCGACTTTCTAGCCAATATCAGCCACGAGATTCGGACCCCCATGCACGGCATGCTCTCCGCCTGCGCACTGCTTCTAGACAGCGGGCTGACCGAGAAACAACTGGAAATGGCTAATATGATTGAGGACTCGGGCCGTGTCATGTTGCAGATTATCAACGACACTCTCGATTACTCCAAACTTGCAGCATATAGCCTTTCCATCAATAGCGACATTATGGACGTGGCCAGTATAATCGCTTCCGTTGTGGGCAGCTGTCGGGCCTCCTTGAATCCAGGAGTGTCACTCAAGCTACACCTCGCACCAGATCTCCCAAAGTGGGCAGATGGTGATGCTCTCAGATTCCGCCAGGTCGCTGAAAACATCGTCAGCAACGCAGCTAAATTCACTGAACGAGGACTCATTCAAATGAGCGTGTCGCTGCTCACACAGGACGCCGGGACATATACAATCATGACTGAGGTTGCGGACGCCGGGCCTGGCTTGTCCAACAAGGAAGTCCCAAAGCTCTTCGAGCCATTCACGCAGCTCGACACTACGTACCAGAAGCGTCGTGAAGGCACCGGTCTCGGACTGTCCATCGCCAAATCGCTGGCTGGATTGATGGGCGGGGATATCGGATACCGTCCCAACCCAGAGTCACAGGGCAGTATCTTTTGGTTCACAGTCAAACTCAAGAGAATCAACAACATACTAGAGGTTCGATCAGTTGGCGACCAAGATTTTGGCAAAACCACGAAGCAGCTGCACGTCACGCAAGACGACGACAACTCTGCTGGAGAACTGGCACAGTTGATGGAGATTGCACCGGCAGCACGGATTCTCGCAGCCGAGGATAACATTATCAACCAAAAGGTCCTTGTAGGAACGCTGCGTGCCGTTGGATTCCAGCACATCACAGTCGTCTCTGACGGCGCGCAGGCTGTCTCGGTGCTCTCGAAAACGCCTAATGCATTTGATTTGGTACTGATGGACATCAGCATGCCCATCATGAACGGTTATGAGGCGACCATCCAGATACGAAACAGTGGCATCCGTCTACCAATACTTGCTATGACGGCATACGCGCTCAAGGGCGATATGGAGCGCTGCTTGGAAAATGGCGCAGATGACTACATCGTCAAACCGATACATCGGCAACTTTTGGTCAGGAAGCTGCTACAGTGGCTTATCAAACCGTGCGATTCTCGTCATCAGGAGGTTGGACACCATCAATCGGCAATCGGCGATTCAGACGTGGCCTCGGTATAGGTTCTATCTACGATAAGCAGGATAAAATAGTAGCTTTATGGAAGGACTTCTCGTTCGGTGTCCCTGGGCATGAAATGAAGCAGGGGTTAGCATGGGAACACTTGCGTGAGATGAGCTGCGCGTACAACGCGAAGGCGCTTTGCTCCCCAAGTTCGCGCCGCGGGAGCTCCATCAGAGGGGGCTTGCCCGCGGGGTATTGGCGACTGAGCTGGCGTGATCTTCTCAACGCCTCCTGCCCCGCCCAGTAGGTCTCCAAGGCCTAGGCGAGTCGTGCAACTGACCGCAACCCAAAGTGGCTTGGTGGCAATATCCCAGACTACTGAACCTCAATGGGCCGTCTTGAAATATCCGTATGAAATGAAGTGGCCGTTAGCGATTAACAGCACGGTGGCGGTGCTGGTCAGTGGCATTCATCTGTTGATTCGAAGTAACCCATCCTCATGTTAACCCTTTTCTCTAAACGACCGTAGCATCAAAAAGCAAACGCTGCGTGACGTCGATGCTCGACTGGTGTTCACATTCGTCTGCAGATGATAAAGAGTTCCCTTTGCCAGCTAAAGATTGTCGACGCTGTCCGTCACCGCGCACTCCAGCTACTTTAGTCGTCTTTGGTTCGGATCGCGCACGTCTCGCGCTTTCTCTCCCGCGCTTCCGCATCTAGTTCCAGGAAGACTCAGATGTCTTCTTTCCGTTGAGCGGGGGCTGGTGGGGGTTGTGACTGTGCCGAGTTGAGTGGGGTCCAGTACCGCATGGCATGGATTTATTACGCCTGGAGGGAGGTCCCTATAGGGCCTTGACACTACCTATTTGGCAATATGGTTCGTTTCGTACGTGACACCCCAAGCCCCACAGATGAATCGTCACGCCGCATTTAAGCCAATCTCGTCGTTCCTGATTTCGTGACAGGCCTGCTTGAAGGCCAAGTTCTTCAAGTGTTCAGCATCCTATTCTCAGCAACTGAAGCACGGTCTGCCAAAGCCGAGGCTGTTTTGTTAGTATAGTCGCATGCTAAAGATTATCCTTCTGAGTGGCACGGCTTGTTGCCAGCCTTTTCGTCCCAATCGCACATATGATCGTTGCACGCACAGCCCGCATGTCCGGTTCCCACTTGTCGTCATCCGGCTTAGCTTTGCCTCCCAGAAAGAAAGAAAGGTTGCCAATCTTTGTTCGTGAGCATGTAAAAAGAATTTCCCGTGATCCTGACCACTTCTTGCACCGGAACAGAAAATGCTCTGTCGTCTCTGGTGCTTGTCCACAGTCGCACATGTCCGATTCCGCTGCTCCTATCTTGCGAAGATAAATGTTCAGCCGCATCCTCCCCGTGCGAAGCTGGGCGAGAACGTCTGATTCTCGCTTTTTCAGCGAGTCGTATAATGCACGGGTATGCCTGCCCGGCAGCGCCTTATCGATGCGTTTCGAATACTTTCCAACGCTGTCCGGGAGCCGCTCGCGGGGTCGTTCCTGGCCGAGTGCAAGTCGGAGCGTTGTGGGCTTTGCTTGACACCGTGGCGAATCGATGACACTCTCCTGTTCCGTGGCTCGCCGCGCTCCGGCTTTGGCCAGTGGTCTCAGTGCACATTTATCTTGCTCGGCCGGCAGTCACATAAGCCTGACAGAAGAGCCATTCTTCTGAAGCTGCTTCGCACCATCGTATATCTGACGAATAATGCACTGTCCGGATTGTTGCCTCGGCCGCGTGATCGCTGCCACCGCTGCGCGGTTGCTCGTCACGACCGTCACGTCTCGAGAGACACGGCCAGGTGGTATGGCTCTCAGCGCTGCTTCTATCGCCGCGAGTTCTGCCGTGTATGTGTTTTGTTCGCTTCTAGGTCCGAGAGCAACGGAATAGGTGACTAGCTTATCGGTGGCGCCGTCACGCGTCACATCGCCCACGACTCCTCCCATACCTACTCTGCCATTCTTCTGCGAGCTAACCGTTGTTATAATGATGCCTTGTACGTCATTTGGTGTCTGCGCCGTCCCTGCGACGCCATCTTCACCCATTACCGGGATACGCTTTGTCCATGGTCGTAAAGCGAATTCGCGAATGACCTCCATTCGCTACGTGGAAGGCTTCGCCACCAATGAGGTGATGCCTTGCATTGGCGAGAGGTATCCTTGCTCGCCTTATTCCTCAGCGCTGCCAGCGGATGTGTCTGCGGAAGGGTCCGCAGGTCGACGCAAAGCCTCATCGCGGTCTGCTCATGCCGTTCCCCTACTGACTGAATGCTGGCTTCGGTCTCAGCCACAGCGGTTGTGACGGTACGGAAGGTTCCAGTAATAGCCTACGCACCAATTCGCTGCGCTTTATATAACCAGCCAGTTTCTTTCGCCCGACGCGCGTGCATCCAGACATTAGAAGCATAGTCCATCGCCGGAGCAACTGTCGCCATGAACAGCTGTCTCGCCACCTTCGGTGATAGCATTTTCAGCCTCCTCAGGCTCATGGCGGCCGTGAGCCCCTTCTCGGCGGCTCAGGCCATGTGTTTCTGGTATCGCAGGCCGTCGTCCATGATCAACCCCAGGATTTTTGCGCTAGTCCTTGGCTTGATTTCCTTGTCCTTGATCCAGAACGGCAAGTCACTTTTCCGCGCGGCGGCGCGCATGAAGTGGATGACCGTCGTCTTGTCGGCCTGGAACGTCGCGCCGCTGCGCCTCTCCCAATCCAGGGCATCGTCAATGATTGACTGAATGCCTGTCCGGTTCGCCTCCGCGGTCGGGCCGGTGACCCAAGCCGGCTAAGCATGGCAGATTGTTTGCCCGTTATGCGTGTATACATTCGTTGGATAACTTCATATCAAGGATGTGTAAATACGTATCCCAGCCGTGTTTTGTTGAGACACTTTCTCCAGCTTCCTACTCCGACTGGCCCAAGCCACATCTCGACTCTGTTCCCTTCGACCCGTTTCCTCACCGTGCGATCGACCGATCTAACAAGTGCGTCTGGCTTCTTGTAGCCGGGTTGCACCAACAGTGAACGGTCGATCTGGTCAACGACTCCTCTGACCACTCCACGCGCTGTCCTTGTATTCTGCATCCTGACCCAGAGCCATGCTTCTCTCCACTGATATCGGCAGTAGTCGACAGGGCGCCCAGTAGAGCGTCGTTCTGCTCTTCGTGCTTCATGAGGTCGTTCAACTCAGCCTCCAGATTCTCCCGTGAGTCTTCGTACGGGTTGTTGGACACACGCTCTAGGCGATCCATTTCGCAAGTATCGATTTGATCATGACACGTGCACCAAGTGAACCACGTGTCGTCGCTACTGTCCGTCGCAGCTTTTGCGTTGCTATCAAGTCTTACCATGTCACGTGTGAGTTTCGCCGTGTTGCTTCGAGACATTTCTTGTTGGAGGCCTGTACCCCTTAAAAGTGTATATGATTGTGGCAGAATGCCCATGGAAAGCTCAGGAATGATCCATGTCGCTTTGTGGCAGATGGTGGGAAAGGTTGCTCGCATATGGGCTTAATAGGAAAAAGTGCTCGCCTGTATTGTTTGCGTCGGTGACTTACCTGTGCCGAAGACTTAAAATTACTACATTCTGATGTCACTACACTTCGATCGGACGTGGGAATAGACTCGGACTTTACCCTCCGCGCTGGGACATGGGCAACGCACGAAGGAGTGACCATTCATCGTTGCAGGCACCAAAGTAGTACGGACAGAATGTGGGATGTGGACAGAAACTCCGGACAGTCCAAAGGTGCCAAATGCAAGCAGTCTTTATCCCCAGTGTGGTCTCAGAAATGATCCTGCACAATCCGAGCATGGCCCTTTTGTCGTTCTAGCATCAAGCACAACGGCATGCCCACAGTAGCAAGTATGCCATCTGCGCTGCGTCTCATTTCGTATGCACAGCGACTCAAGCAAAAACGCATCTTCTCGTCCCGGTCTATTGTTAGGCCATATGCTCCCACTGAGACTGCGAGCACGTCATGGTAGCGAGCATCCGCGTCTGTCCTAATTCCCATCTCGCACTTCGAGAACCAGCCTAGCTTCCGAGGCAGAGCGATGAATAGATGGTATACGGGCACCACTCCTTATCCGCCGGATAATTGCCTGCGATACCTCTTCCGATGAGGTCGTAAGAATATGGAGCAAATATCTATAGGCAGCAAATTCAAGCTTTGCGTCTTCGTACGACCTCTCCAATGCCTCGTATCGGCTTCCCTCAGCTCTCGATGTCTCATACTGGCATTCTACCCGGCGACGGACACAGCCGCTGCATTTTGGGTGCTGAGCATCACACTAGACGCACCGGTCAGCCGAGTTACCTCGAAGCATGTCCGTATGCAATCAGCTTGGAAGCCAAAGGTATCCTATACCTTGGATTTGCGCTTCCGGCAGGGTCCGCATGTGACGCGAACAATGTTGAATTTCCGATGATTCTGTTGAGGTCGCTTCATTATGTCGTCCGATGCAGGCGGATTCCCCCCCCCCCAGCTGGGAGCAGTCGGGGCAGTATTGGTCGCTGGATATGACCCTTTCCCATGGTTGTTCGTGCCATGGCTGTGAGCCGCATCGATATTAAGAGAGAGTAAGAACCAAAGGTACAACGTTTGGGCGTATGACCTGCGCGAACTTCATTCATCATCATATAGCCAAAATAACCCTCCGTCATGCCATTTGATTGACGTCGAAATGGTTTCAGCACCAGACATGCCTGATCACAAACCAATCAGAACAGTAGATCCAAGGTCTGCAACGGAGCACCTCCGGACAACCCACTCAATCACAGCACCGAATTCAGACCACGCTAATCCAAACGAGCGTGCCCATCAACGTCGGGCCAGCCCCGCAAAGTGGAACCGGCTGTGAGGCGGCACGGACCACAAACAGGGCCGTGCGGTCGACGATGCCTCGGACTCTGCCAAACCATCGCAGTTTCGCTGCTCTCAGGCGGCTACTGGACCACTTGCGGTGTAACCACATCGACCGCAATTTCCCTCGGGCCCCAGTCGCATATAAAGTCGCCAAAGACGACGTTGCGAGCGAGAAAGCCA